TTCTGTATGTCCAACGGTTTGGGAGTTATTGGCCAAAAACGAAAATTTGGAAGAAATTGAAGGGGTACCCCTTGGAAAAATCTCGGAAAAATCGAAAATTTTTTTTTGTTGTTTATTATTAGCAATGTTCGTCCGACGTCTGATTTCTTCTTAATTAATGCGTTTCTAAAGTGCATAAACTTTTGGAATTGACTGTATAGCCAATACATCCTTAAATTTTACTCTGACAACTTGTAATTTTTTTTTCCAGAGCATGGTAAGTTTATCGAAAATCATTGTATGTCGAAAATAGCATCGAGAGGACTAGCTAAAAAATCTCTGATACCATTCGTCGCAAGAGGAAATTATTATAGTATAAAAAGGACCAAGGGACACAAAATGCATCCACGAAATCCTCCTGAAATATCGTATCTTTTTATTCTCATATACATACATGCATGTATAGTATATGTATTTTGTCATACGCTCAAGACACATTGTACAATAGAATAAAGTGATATTTTATAATACATTCAACCTTGTCAAGTAATTCAAGTAAACATGTTTATACTGCCTTATTGCCCAGAAGAATAGTTAGCAACGTATCTTTCTTTCTTTGAGTTGTTTCATTGACAGGAAAAAAAAGAGGAACTTGGATTGTTATATTTAATCGATAAAACTTTACTTCCGACCAAAAACTGGACGTTTAGGAAAACAGCTTAGCAATACAGAAGATCGTCTTGTATTTGAGTTCGTGCTCCGTTTAACTATTAATTCTTTCCTCACATTATAAATCGTTCACCTATACACGTATTATTATGAATTATTTACACAGATTTATACAATTTAAAACATACATATCTAAAGTAACATACATCTAACACACAGATTATTGCGTAATCACACGAAACAGTTACCCCTTAATTGCACGCGTGCATCCGCGCGCGCGTGTACGGACGAGTAATAATTTAAAGTTCGCATCATAACTCCCAGACGATCGCCTTTATATTAGGTCGCAAAACTCTTCATTCTCTTCTGTTGACTATTCGATTCATTCTTTCTATCTCATATCTACATATTGAGCGTGCAAAATTTCGTTCACAGTGCGATCAGTTCCATTATTGAATTACTATCTGCGCCGAAGATCACGAACTGCCTATTCTTTTCTCCGGCCTTGGCTCCTCCTTCTATAATGCCTGTTTACCATAAATGATAGAGTGGGGCACCGTACCACCATCGTGTCTCAGAGATTGGAACTTCACTTCTTATCTCTATGGTGACGTATGAGAGCTTAGGAGATTTTATTTGTTACGGAACAGCGGCAAGGGAAGCTTATCTCGCCCATTTCTTCGATACTCGGTCGAAATGGTCGAATAGCAGTACGTCAGACACGACAACGTATAAACGTATTCGGCTAATCAGGCGCGAATATCATCTAGGAGAATGGGTGTTTGTACGCGGGCTGCCGAATGTATCGGGGATCCGAGCAATCAATTCGAGACAGAAAGATAAGGGCGGGAGCCCAAGACATACGAATGTTAGGTAGTCCGTTATGTTCGAGAGGATAAGGCTGCTTTCGATAACACGGTGGGGTAACTGTGGCTACCGACGGAGAAATTCGTCATCCCTGATCTATGCGATCCCAATCGTCCAGAAGTTAAAACACTTCAATTTATTAATCCTCTTATCATTAAACGTCGAGATGTAATATTATAATCGTGAAAATTCACGTAATTGATCTTTACCGTAATTGTACGGGAATGCTAGGAAAGAAAACGGTGTCTACATTTCTATGTTTAATTGGTAGTAAATTTTCGAATTATTGTCGACGATTTGAAAACGGTTACGCTGCATGTAGCGCGAGAAGTACACGTTTAACAGTTCTCATTAATTCTTCACTGTACTTGCGTTTACATTTGGAACAGGATTTTCGAACATCCGCGAATGTAATTAATAATTTCTTCTCTTTTAACTTTTCATGATATGATATACCTTAACAAGGTGAAACAATCTCAAGGCGATGCAACGATCGTTTCAAGAGTAAGTATATACACGTTGCGCATTTCATGCACGAGGTCAACGTTTGATTTTTGTTTCAATACATACATATATACATATAATCGACATTTTACGTTCCTTCCTATGTACGACGACAGATTAAGGAATACACATCGAAAGACAAACGTACGAGTTGTCATATTTCGTAGAGAACATTTACGTATCGATAAAAAAGAGTTGGAAAACGAGAACAGTATACGTATTTAATTAATAGATTCACGAACATCTTTTTATGTAACAGAGATTGTCATCCGCGATAATCGTGTAAACTTTTCCCCATTCTTAAGACGATATTTTTCTTATGTACACCGTGTACACCGCGATCAACAATGTTCGATCATCGGTTCGTTTCACGACGTCACAAAATAGATAAAAAAACAGTAGCAAGTAGATAAATAGAGTAAGATTTTAAGTACCTGCACACGTGGATCCACGAATATCTTCTACTTCCGTTTATCCCTATGTCCACGGATACTTGACGATTGTCTCACTTTTATTTTTCCAACTTCTTAATCACAATTGCTCGTCGACCGGTATTAAACACGGAGTCAATGTTTTCAACGAAGAGTCAAAGATTCCACGGAAAGGGAAACGGACACCGCCTGTCTATAATGTTGAAGCGTAGGGGCCGGAGTAGTCGGGACCTCTTCGATGCGTTCCAAATCGTTAGCCGCCCCCGCGCTGTTTTGTTTAAAAAGTCTTTGCGTCGGATTCAAGCTTTGAGGCTGCGGCTGTTGGTAGTTGCTGGGCTCGATGAAACTGACGCACGGTACTTCGTCTGGACGATCCAAACTGAACTGCCTCCTCAAGAAACGTGAACCACTGCCTCTGCCTGAGAGGAGAAGGTAAAAAGAAATTGCTGATAGATCGCATTTATGACTGGCCATTTTACGGATATCAGGAAAATATCAAAACTTGCCGTGATGTTCGTTTGGTGAAAGACATCTGTAGAAATTGTACGGCGTGCTCAAATCGTTCTCATCGATGTAACCGGGTATCCTCCGATGCCTCGAGGGGCCCGGTCTGTAGGGACCCGTGGTCGAGCTTGAGATCGATGTAAGCGAACTGGTAGACGCGCCAAGCATCGATGCGTCAAATATGCTGGACGTTGCTAAAGATTGCGCATCAGCGGAAGGACCTTTCGTCACACCAGTTGAACTTGTATCTTCATTCTCCTTTTCATTCGGCTTCTCCTTCGTCGCTAAGACTTCTAGAACATTTGTCGTCGGTCTCGAGGAGGTAGGTTCGACCACTTGTTCATCATGCACGGATACTGCCACCGTACACGTATCCGGTTTCTCTTTGGCACTCTCGACATTAACATTGCGACCTTTCTCGTCCTGCTCCTTCGTCTCTCCGCAGGGTACCTCCACAGTCGAAGGCACATCGTCGTCTTCTTTGCTGATGGTGAAATTCTCCAATATCAGGCTCTCGTTCAACCTTTCAGCGTGGAAATTGGAAATCGGCGAATGTCAAATCGATAATTATTTTGAAGTTAAGATATAGGAAAGATTGCTTGCACGCGCATCTTCGTTTTTTATGTACGCGTCTTTACGCACACACGCAATCGTTCCAGGAATATATTTGTAAGCGCAGGTATAATGCAATGTACCGTGGTTTTCACAATTTATCAATTTTTTACTTACCCGTGGCTCTCCCTGGAGATGGCGGCAGTATGGCAACAGATAAAAGCATTAAAAATCTGAAAAGCAAACACCCTGAATGAAGATCTACCAAATCAAAGTGTGTAATGCAGATGCAATGCGCTCACAATTCGATTGTTCGATGTTTTAAACAAAAGATATGAGATGTTTAGTTTATCTATCGGATCGATAATTAATAAACAATGCGGAGTGGCACGATGTAGTTTTACAAGTGTTCGTGAAGCATACGAGGCGAAGTAAGGGAAAAATAAAATGAAGATAAGTAGTTTGCTTACATATATTCCTTACGATTGTACGTGTTTATAAACGATAGAATTTGGCAACGCACAACGAGAAGGAGTAGAGACTTACCCGATAGCTGGTGGCATCGGGAGCTTCTTATCGAAACCTTGCTTCCCTAGTAACCAATACGTAGGCATCTTCCCCTTGCCTTTAACTTCCGTCGATCCGCGGTATTCGATCTCATATCCACCCACCTCGGTCAGTCGATCTTTCGTTACTTGGCTAAGATGTATGCGCCACGGTGCACCGGTAGACTCCATTCTCGACGCGGTATTAACGGTATCACCGAATAAGCAGTACCTTGGCATCGTTAAACCAACGACACCGGCGCAACAAGGTCCTGGAAATGCGCTCTGTCTACCGTCTGCTGTTTCATTCGTTCGAAATAAAAACAAAAAGATTATTTACCGGTGTGCAGGCCAATCCGAAGCCTCAACTGAGTTTTTGGCAAATGTTTCAATTTAAACTTTCCACTCTGGTGTAACAGATCCAGAGCCATAGTCGCGATTTGAGACGCGTGGTCAGGTATTCTTACTGGGCAACCACCTACGACCATGTATGCGTCTCCTATCGTTTCTACCTATAACGATTAAGAAACAACGTTTAATTCATATTATGACGAGAAGGAATTCCCGTTTCTGTTACCTTATAAACGGTGTACGCGTTGATCGTGGCGTCGAAACAAGTGTACAAATCGTTCAAAAGATCTACTACTTGAAACGGAGTCGAGTGCGCGGAGATGGTCGTGAAACCGACTATGTCCGAGAAATAGATCGTCACTTCACGAAACTCTTCAGGGTCGACGGGCATGCCCAGTTTCAATTTATCAGCGACAGAACTGTAATATTATTAAATATATTCAATTCAATTATACGAAGAAGAACAGAAGAGATTGAAAAGTGTACCTGGGTAACATCCGATTCAATAATTGTTCCGTTTTCTTCTTTTCCATGTCCAATTGCTCTGTGCGCTCGCGTATCAGTTCTTCCAAATTATTCGAGTACTTCTCCAACATTTGAAACATCGTATCGACGATGTTTACTTTCCTTCCGTGATTGAGTTTTTTAAATAAATCGTGAACATCGTCGAAATCTGGCCTCATGTCCGGCGCTTCCGCCCAGCATTGACGCATAATGTCTATTGCTTCGGGTGGCGCGGCACCTTTGCTAACAGACGGTCTAATTAACGGCGGTGGTTTCATTACCTTTTCAATAATATCTGAAAACAAGTGTTCATGTAAAATATTATTTCAGAATCTTTATATTATTATTAATTTACCTTCTGGCGACAAAGCAAGCATGCAGAATGGTTCGCCGCGTACTACCACTTCCTGCATGATGATGCCAAAGCTATAAACGTCTCCTGCTTGCGTGCCCTTTTTCCGTAAGTTTGGTTGCCTCAGCAGTTCGGGCGCCGTCCATAAAAGTTCTAAAAGTTCGAGACAAGACGAGTCCCTTCATAATTCTACGTAAAAAAGTAAATGCTAATTCTTACCTCTGGCGGTTTTTATTGGAGGAACAATATTTTGCGCTTCGTAAAAAGCGGGCAGTCCGTAATCGGTTACCTTGAGGACCCAGCGAGCATCAATGATACAGTTTCGTGAATTAAGGAAGCCGTGTACTCGCAGCGGTGAACCATGAAGATACCTCATGCCCTTTAAACAAACATGTTTGAACAGTCCCTTCAATCATTTTTATTATCTATATTTAATTTTTTCTGCTTACCCGTACAAGGTCTGTGAGGAATGATAATCTAAAGGACCAGTCGAGCTTGATCTCGTCATGTACTAGTACATCCTCCAACGATCCTCTCGAACAGTATTCATATACAAGGCACCGTCTAGTCGGTTCGTTTAAGTATCCTATCAAAGGGTTTAGATTTTCGTGACGCAGTCCATGAATCTACGATTGAAACACGATTTTCCCTCCATTTCGTTTTTCTTTTTAAAGCAGGACAGGTGAAGAACGTATCCTTACCATGACTAGTACATCCATAGCTTTGTTTCTTAGCTCGAACGTACTTTGAGTTGGCAATTCTTTCAACTGGACCAAGTCACCCTGATAACATAATCACACGTATAGGAATTAGTTCGCATCATTTTAAATAGTAGCATTCGATCGGCTCTTGATTTATTAGGTAACAAAAAATTTCGGACTGTTAGGATACTAACGTTATATCGTGCGCGTGGATCTTTGAAGAAGTTAGGACGCGCCAGATTTCCTGTGCTCGCACGTAAGCACGGTTTCAGAGACGACACACTTCCCAATTGAAGCAAGTCCGGCTTTTCAACCTCGGGTCCACCGAACTCTTGCAACTGTTGCAACCAACAGCATAACATAGTCTCGATACCCTCGTCTACCTACACACATCTTTGCGTGAACTTTATTCCCGGTTCTATGGAATTTTATGACGGCCGAACTGTTAGGAACTTACCCTCCTAGAATTCGCTTGAGGCACTTGAGGAAACACGAAGTCCGACGTAGTTAAAATGATTTTGTACGGACCTTTTGACATTCTCTTTTTAAGCAGCCTTTTCCTACGGTTTAATATTCGTTATAAGATTTATAAATGCAGTGGATGGGATGAAATTTGAGATGAGGATGAAAGTTTTTGTCATTTAATTACGCAAATACTACTCCACGGATTGAAATGAAATTTTTCATGTACATTACTCTCTGATTGAAACAGGCATATTTAAACAAATAATCGTTGATGTAATCTTATTTGTTTGTTACATGGGATGCTTCGGTTTGTTGTAATGAAATAATACTTCTATACGGTAACTCGAGATACGAGAACACTCGCGGGCGAAGTCGAGGCGGGGAATAGCAAATCAATAAATTAGTTCCTTGCCTGATCAAGATTGCCATTAATATTGTCATCACAGTCAGCAAGAACGAGCCCAGAATAACAGCTACGATGTGGGCAATACCAGAAGGTGATTCATCGACAGTACTTTCTATAATAAAAGAGAATCTTCAGAAATGAAAATTAAGAGAAGTCGTAATGTATTATTCGAAAAATAAGCGGTATAATTTTATCATACCTATGCAATCAATAATGTCATTTCCGTTCACGTCTTTGTTGCATTTCGGAAGGTCCGTCTCGTTTGCGTCGTGGAACGCAATAGCATTCGGAGTTAACTTTCGAACCAACAATTTTCTATGCTCCTCCATAGTGATCATAATAGGTTTCCAAACATTAACACGCCAGTCCAGTAAAACGTATGTATAAATTTTGTTATTGACCGCATTTATGCTGGAATTGTCGTTCATTAAGATATTAAGAGTTTCGTTCAAACGGTCCATCAGCGTTGGTACTATGTACCGCTCTATACCTTCGAATACTTTCTCTACATCATATCTACAAAAAAATGCGTACATACTTATCCACTACTTTCAAAATGTTTGGTATTAAAAATAATGTGAGCATATGTACCTACTTGTAATCGAGAGGTGTTATCGTCAGTAATCTTTCCAAGAACGCCGAGCTCAAATTGTTCGGCGGCAAATAGCGATTATTCATCTTTGATTTATCTTGTAACTGCCCCAATTTCTGTTCATCTTCTTCTTCTTCTTCTTCTTCTTCATCATTCCCCCTAACGTTTATGTAGTCGTCGAACGATATTTCATTGGATGCATTCGTGAAATTCGACGACGATATAGTCGTAAATGAAACGGTGGTCGCTGAATCCACCCGAGGGGTCGTGACGTTCCCGTTCGGCAGAAACAGATCGTCGTCCACCGTATGAACGATCACGGTCATTGAGTTCCACGCAGAATTAGGGGATTGCTGTACGGCATCCAATTCGGAGAGGACACGGGTCATTAAGCCGTCATCATTGGACGTCGGTAGACAGAGTACCGTAACTGCGTGCAATCGAATACGTATATTGTGATGATAACAGGCTTGATACTTTGTCTTTCCATTTTGCCCCGAAGCGAATTTCCGTTATGCATCAGTAAAAATCATCGCATGCATTAAAAGTGCTCACCTCTCCGTGAAACGTTGTACATGCTGCGTAGGATCGTTCGAATTTGTTCGAAGGTGGCTCGGTACGGTAGTATCGCGCGGCGTCGTACCACGGCCCCGACGCTTTGTAAAGAATTTAACAACGCTCTTTCGAGGCTCACCCATGGCTCGCGGTCTGTAACGCGATATACCTGCCACCATATGTATGCACATTCCCGGTAAAAGCAAACAGAAAAATCAAATTTACCTGTTCCGATCACCGCTACGGTTTTCCACTGCAGGTGCATCAGCATTTCCGCGAAGGCCTTCGCGATCGCTGGCAGGGACGGGGTCAGCCTGACGATCGACGAAAGTTGTATTTCCTCTAAATCTTTCTGCAATGATCGTTTGGAATGCGTGTCGTGTCATGTATGCTAGCATAGTTGAAAATTCGACTGAGTAGTGTGTATGGTGCATGCGCCTCGATTTCCTTACCAGAGGACAAGTCCATGTGAACAGCGGCATGTTCCAGAGATGCGCGAGCTTCATCGTGACCTCGCACATCGGTGAATCGAGAGCAGCTATGAGAGCTTTCGTTTTTTTTTGCCCCAGTACGCGTAACAGGGTATCGAGGCCCCAAGTTTCCGTTTCGCACGATACTAACAAACGGGCGCATTCATTACATCGCACGTGACGCGAAATATCGGTTCGACGAAGCAGATACTCACGTGACAGCGGTATAACTGTGATCTGCACTCCGAAATTGAATCGGTCGAAGTAATCTTGAATGTCCGTGGTATTCGTTTCGTCGTCGCAGTATTCTCTTAAAAAAATCATCACATCCGCTTCGGTTTGATTATAATTGTCCACGTCCGACAAGTGAGAAACGCATGGGCCTTGCTCGTTACACGAAGAAAGTAAGCACCCGGACAGGATCATGATCGAGATCCATGACCAAAGCCGGTAGAAAGAATTCCCGGCCATGGGCCTGCAACCCTGTTTACCGTTCCCTTCGTATCGCGCTCGTCCGCTTTCCTCCTTTAAAATCGTTAGCCTATTGACCCGTATCTATTTGTCTCCGTATTTGTCTTCCTTTACCATCTCCGCTGTGTAGCAAATAGAGCGATCTTTCGCATTAAAAAAGATTCGAGAATAAAAAGTAAAAGTGTCTGACAGTAGAGAAAATCATTCATGTGTTTCACGTGACTCAATATTTTTACATAAAGGGCTTATTGCAACTAACGTTAGCACGTTTACAAACGTTTTTAACAGTATAAGAACTTACTTATACTGAATGAAGAACACGTGCAAAGTTGTTGAATAGCGTACATACATAGATACAGGCAGGCGCCTACTACGGTGTCATACAGGATGCGATAAGCAACAATTAGAGCGTGTACAATCTTTTCGTACAAAAAGGTGTGTAATTTAATTACGGTAGATTAATTCGCTGTAAACATTTTCCACTACATTTGGTACTTGCCGACGCTAAAAATATTAATAAACAATCTTCCGGAGTTGCTTTCATACATTCCCCATGATCATCAATTTATAATTGTAAATTAAACTCGGGGACAAAGAACCGCGTTTGTGTCTGTACGCGCGCACGCTTACATTAATGATCCTCAGCATTATTAAATTATTAAATATTTGATAATGACATGATTGGTGTAAATCAATTATTGAAAATTACATTTATTATACGCGTTTCATATAGACGTTTACCGAACATCATTTAGTATTACTCTCATTTAGTATTACTCATTTAGTATTATTATTTACTTGATTCTTCATTAAGAGAGAACAATTCCTTTCACTCGGGATAATGTTTATTAAAGATTGAAATCACGTTTAATATAATACGTGTAAGAATGCGTAATTGAAATGTACGAAATGTTTATCGTGTATTTAAAAATAAGAACGTACCGACGCATTGATAGATAATAGCGATTTTCTCTTACCTTTTCTCTTTCCGCAACAAAGAAGAGCAGTAGCAAATTTGTCTATTTTTTTGCTTGCGTATGTACCAGAAGGGGATGCGCGCTTTAGAAAATATTTTAAAAATACGCATATCGCGACTAACCGAACAAACGAAGATACTTCGTAGCGTTACGGAAGCGAGTGTCTTTTGTAACGGGATGAATAAAATGCGTGTGAAAAAGCTAAGATGATCGAACAGTGACTGTGATGAACGTTTTGGACGGCCCGAACGCCTCGGCGTCCGCTATCGAACTAGCGTCGAGTTCCACCCTTCTACACATGCTCGAAATGACGTTATCACAGTGGAGCCGGAAGGGTTCGTCCCGGGAAGCGAGCTGGCACTGGGGCTGCGCGGATACGCGAGATCACGAGTTCGGATCGGGTCGTAAAAGCAGGTCGAACTCGGGCCAGCCACCGGCAAAATACGAGAGCATTGGGTTAATGTCAAGCGGACGTATCGAGCTACTTGAACGTTCGTGTTCCTATTGGAATCCGCTTGAAAATATTGGAAAATTCATGTCCAACTGAAGGGCTGATTCAATTTCGGCTTACTTATCAGGGATTCGCGGAAACGTAGAAGGATAATTTTATTTCTTTATCTCGCATAATTCTCCTTAATCTTTTGAATAGGATTACGTGAGTTTATAGATGATGAGATACTTTTTCAGGGAGTTTTCGGATTACTTAAGCATTTGGAATTCCACTTATTCCTTTCTAATCGTACAGAACAGATGCATGCCCCTAATACAAGGCCACCTGCCCAACAAGATGATATTTGCATAATTATACCAAAAAATATTAAAAATATTTTCTTGAAAATATAATATTCGTGACACTAGCAGAAAGATTACGATCTATTTGACAAAGTCCAACAATAAAAGTTAATAAATCAATCTCCAAAATACGATTTATTCAGGATTAAAAATTTGTACATCTCGTAAGGTCATGGTCGCCCCATCTAATGGTGAGATTCAGGACACGCAGTTCGTTTAAATTGCTTCCTGCAGTTTATTTCACGTCGTTTTAATATACAAACGATTCGTTTACGTCCTGACGTTTGAATTTGAAAATAGTATTATTCCTCGTTAAAATCTTTATCAAGCATGAATAATTTAAGCGATTTTAGTCAGATATCGGGTAAGTAATTTGTGAATCATTAATTAAATCAACATACAAAAAACATAACTTATAAAACTTGTAAACATCGTGGTATTGATTCTGTTAAATTGTTTTAGATATAAATAATATTTCCCGAATCTCTCGCGTGAACTGTAGTCGATTATTAGGTAGAGTAGATTCACTCCAAAATTTGTTTGAACAGCAGTGTAGTTTGTCTAGCAACACAAGTAGGAATGTCCAATCCAATCAAGGATCTAATCATTTAGAAAAAGCTGTGAAATCTCTGACTTTATGTGATGAAAGCATAGGAGAATACGGAAAAAGTAACATAATTACGGAATGTATAAAGGAAGCATCTAACAATGTAAAAGGAGCATTGTCAAATGATACTGCTACCAAATTGAAAGGCTTACTTTTAATTCACGATCTTAATAAATATATGCATCTACCATCTACGTCATCAAATGTGCAGGAGTTAAATGTTCTGGGAATCATAGATTTACCACAATATGATCTCAGTTATGAAGAGAAGTTAGATATCAAATCTTGTGTGGAAACATTATTACGAGAGAAAATACATGATTTTATATTAAGGTATAGTAATAAGGCATATTACATATGATAAAATGGAAATTTGATAATTCACAAATGAATTATATTTCAGATATGAGCAATTAGGAGGCAGTATGAAGGAAGTTGTAAGATCAAATGATTGTAATGCACACAAAAAGGCATTGGAGCCTTACGACATGCAAATACTTCAGTGGAAAGATAAAATTGAACAGTTGTGTATTCAATATGAGACGGATATCACGAAGTTTAAAACATTGATGAATAAATGGGATGAAATGAAGTACAAAGATATGAACAAGATTTATTTTGAAAAGGCAGAGTACATATTGATACAAGCTCAAGTGGCAGAAGTACAAGCAAAGATTACAAAGTTATCATGCATATTGAAAATGTATAAAGAAGCACCAGTAACAGTTGATGCGCATAGAATATTAAACGCAGCTTTGGATGAAAAGATGTTTTCAGTGATGAATGAAATTAAAGAGAAGCAGAGTTTGAAAAGTCAATATGAAACTTTACAAAATAAAGAATATGACGAAGTTCTGAAGACTTACTTAGATTTTTGCAACGCTATTAAGAAGAAGAAGCAACTATTACATAAATTAAATAAAGTTCAGTAAAAATAAGTTACGTTAAGGTCAATTGAATTTGTATATAATTTATATATTTGTATAAATAAAGAAACTCGCAATGTGTACATTGATTTTTGATTGTTTTTATAAATATTCTTCTAGTTGAAAAAAGAACTATGTTTAGAGTATAGTAACAAGAGATAGAACTTATTAATTTATGAACAGTATTAGGAAGGGTGTATTGCATAAAATGTTCATTTGCTTTCTTTAATCGCTGTCTGATGTATTCTCATTTTGTGTTAGCGGAGGTATACAATTCTTATCTGTAAGCATTCCATGCTCAATTAAAAATGCTTCGACATCGGATGCATAGAAATCGTCTCCTAAATAATCTGTCACACGAACAAAATTTCCTATTACTTGACCAGCTTTATAGACTAATAAAGCTGGGACTCCTTCCTTTTTAAAATGCTTACTGAGTCCAGCTACTGAACCTGTAGGCAAAAATAATATATATATAATACAAGCAAAGTGACGTAAAAATAGTGATAAGTTGTTATAACGCACCTAGTATTTTACAAAATTTCACAAAAGGATAATCTTGTGCAACAGATAATAAGCAACCATTCATAGCTTCACAGCCAGGAATATCATTTTCATAAATATGAATGACAATTGTTACTGATTTCTCTTCATTATCAATTGCCTCTAAAAATTGATCTGTCGTTTCTAAATTGATGAGTTTACCAAAGCGAAGTTTCTCAGTTCTTGCGAGCATTTCTTTCATTCTTTGCCTCTGATACTCCAAAAGAAAGTCATCAGCTAATAACTCGGCAAGCTCAGGATCATTTTGCATAATTTTCTCTTTCTCATCATCTAGAGAACTACGGCATGTGAGACTAAGTTTGTTTATTAATTGAAGTCTTTCTTTTCGTTGCTCATCTCTCTTCTCTGCTTCTAACTGTTTGTACCGTTGCCAATCCTTAAACAGAACAAATTATAATATCATATTAATATTTATTAATAATTACAGATTTATAAGTATATCTATCTATTCCAAATTTACTTTTATAACACCCTTAGGGCCTGTGTTGGCAGATGTACCATCCCATTCTGAGAACGAGGGTTCTACAGATTCTGTAATTATTTGCGGATGATTTTCATCTGTTTCTTTGTCAGAGTCCGCAGAATCATTGTCTTCCTCTTCACTTGAGCTACAGTAGTAGTGTAACTTTTCACCTAAAATCTTATCTTCCAGAGTTGACATGTTTAATTGTAATACACACTGCAAGCACTACTTGTTTTGCTGTACGTTATTTCTGATATAAAAATAAACTGTATTACACTAATCGTACACGTGTAACAGTAATTAAATTAGAGAATCCGTACAATGTTTATGTTATTGGAACTCATTCACTATTCAACGTAATTTTCTGTAAATAATATGCAACTTTCTTCTGATTTATTTAACATTATGTGCTTGCTTTAACACGGATTGTATAAGTACAACGATATTATTTATGTTTTATTAAAAACTACAGCTACTACGAACTGTCAGTACATGGCAATTCACAAAGACTGAATGAGAAATGAGGCACGACGGCACGACATGAGACATGAGTGAGCAGTGAGGGTGAAGACCACGGTGAAGACGCTGTAGATTCGTCAGAAGTTGTCTTATTTATCGGCATGAGCTTTTAGTACCATCATATGCCTGTAGATAGAACTACCTGTCTCAGAATTGTGAAGTTAGCGTCGTCGCAGAATGTGGTGCGGACACTTCGTAACAGGAAACGAGAAGTAAAAGATACGTGTTTAAAAGTTTAAAAAAATATATATTGTTACACAGTGTATGACTTGTGGTGCGAAGGACGAACAACAACTCATTATCAAGATACCTGTAAGTACATTTTTATCTACAAAATTTATTGCTGTTTATGTAGAATACGTATAATAGGTACGTCCTGTACGAAACAATACTTCGTAATTGATATTGGCAATGAAGTTCTGAAACGTAGTTAATATTTTTGAAATTATTGAAAATAGTTTATAAAATTAATAGAGAATATAAATTCATTAAAAATGATTACTGATATAGAAATATACGAGCTAGGATGAAACTGGCCCATCAGAATTTTCAGAATTTCGCCATTGCTCGACAACAAATTTATTCTTAGTCGACATTCTCTTTTCCTTGTACGAGTATGTACATACGTGCTTTTTTTTTACGAATTTCATGCGCTACACGTTCGCTAATTGTTAGACACACGCCATCCTTGGTTTGCGTCTAATTGTAAGTGAAAATGACCTGCGGTATAGAGTTACGGAGTAAAAAAAGGCCGTGGCCCAACAGCTTTTGCTGGTGATTTTAATCTACGTCCCAGGGACGAGAAAAAGCAAGAATGTCGTAATCTTGATTCAAATGTCTGTGAGAGAGGGCCACCGGGAGGGATTCAGGATCTTTCATGACCGCAAATCTCGTTTGGTTGCTTTCATACAAAAATTATTTTTTGGTCATTCCTCGCACGATGAAAATTATTTCTCGCTTCACTTCTCGGCCCTATAATTTTTCGCAAATTATGCATAATTTTTAATCAACGACTCCAATTATTTATCGCGATGTCGAACATCCCGTTGTTCGTTGGACGATTTCGGCCGGTGTAATTACATTGGTGTGAAACTCTTAATTGAACGTTATTTTCCAAAAATCAGCTTGAACGGTCGCTGGACCGTCGGTGTGATTAATCAAACTAAAAATTATCTTAATTTATTGAAGAGATAAGATGGGAGAGGGGCTTAAGATTATTAATTTATCACTAAATGATTCAACTATTAGGAGGAACCACGAGAATTGGTTCGTCTGAATATTGAACATTCATCAGGAACTAATTATTTTCAGTTAAATGCCTTCTAATATGATCTTCCGTTGTTTAAAATACGGAAGGACACGTGGACGTGACTTGGACAGAAAAATAGTAGTGTCGCTGTGATTGTTACGATACAATCCCATGAATTAATATCAATAATGATATTTCGTCATTGAATTCCGGTAGTTCGGAGAAGGGGGTGGAAATTATTGTGGTCGCTTTTATTGGAACCCACTGTTGCCTAAATATACCGGGGGTTATTTTGAAACCGCGTTGCTGAGCGGGTGCAACGCATATTTCGCTAATTACCGGCGTCGAGCTTTAGCTGTCTTTCGTGCGGTTCGAATGATAATTCAATTATACTCGCCGTTTACACGCGTTGGCTCGAACGGTTCGCATGAATATATCCCATGCGTATATGGCTCTCTGGTAATACCGGACCAGAACTCACCACACGTATTATACTTACCCTAATGGATAACGAATGCGTGTCTCGTAAAAGTTTGCCTCCAGGAGCGTTTAAGCCGATCCCGCGACCAGATTTATATAACGGGTGATCATCGAGTTTCAACTTTGCAATGGAATTAAAATTCCGGTCATGTTTCGTGAAAAGTTTTTTTTTAGAAACTGTTTCTTTAGTAACGCAGAGGAAATTAGTAAAGAGAGGGAAGCTTGAAAAAGTATCAAGTTTGGAATCAGTACGGTCGAGTTTGGAATTGCACGGAGAAATTGCGAGTTGTCAGTTGGCGAAACTCGACGGTAAATTAGAAAGTGGCGAGACGTAATCGTGTCCCCTAAGGCTGGGTGTTGGGCGTACGGTCTGAAATACAAAGTTAAACGGTCTCCCAGCACCTTGTTGCCCGTCCTCTTTTATTCATACACGCGACACATACTCCCGGGACGCTCTCCGTGGCGTAATTACTCTTGGCAACCGGAGAGATATCGACGAGCCAAGCTACAATTATTTTTCTCCCCTGCCGTTAATTAGCGCTCCGACGCGGTGCTTCGCTATTTACACGGCCTGCGCGCCCGTTGTAAATTGTATGTCACCACCGAAAATCTCTTCTTTCTCTTTCTTGTTCCATTCTCGGGATGACTTTAACCCGGTTACGTAGTGACGAAGATAAATCGACAGTGGTCGTATCGTCAACTTCGATTTGGGATTATTATCGATTCCTTGGATGTATCTTTGCACCTGTACGACTGTATCCGAAGCGAATTTATCGAATCGCGAGGTCCCAAGCGTCAAGGTCCGTTTGACGAATGAGGACAATTAATAATCGTCGGCGGCGTGTGATCTCGTGATTCGCATCGTTAACGCTATTTGTTACGCAATGCCAACATCCCGAGGGGTGGTTAGTCGAGCAGATACCAGGGGTGGAAGAGAGGACGTCACGCGAATTTTTCCCAATGAGATCCGCGCCGGGATAGTCGCTATGATCGATCGTAGTCGGTGAATCGCGCGCGAGACTCGTTTGACTTGTCAATCGCGTACCCGGTTCCCTTAACCCGTGACCGAGCGTATTTATCGTCGGATTAGTGTCCAGCGTGCTGGACGCCTCGCGAAAGATGAATTTCTGCCCTCCGATTTTTAGCATTCGGGTTAAGGTTCCCTTCGCGTTCCTCTTTTTTTTGTCCATTCGGGCGAGGAATTTCGTTTATCAGATGGAGGCAATTTTACGGTGTCCGTGGAACGTGTTGGCTCCTAGCCAGTGTCAGCGTAATTTTCGCGTTCAAGTATTACAACCAGGCTTACCATCCGAGAGAGCTTCTCGTTTTTTCTTATCAGATACCGAAGAACGGTGAATAATATCGTAAGTCGTAAACGGAGAACACGTTACACGCGTACGCGTATTGTACCAAGTTCCGTTTCAGCGCAACGAGTTATTCAAATTAGATTCAGAAAAGTACTCCGTTCCTTTGCGTCTACTGTATTCATCATTTTCAAGTCACGAGACACGCGAGTGGAATTTACACGTGGAACAAAACAACGATCAAACGTAAAAATCGCAAAGAACTTTCGCTCGAAATGAATTTCTTTATTCACCACTGGTTCCTTCCGTGTATTTTGAAAACAGAGCGATGAAACATACTGTGAAACGGTATACATAGAAGTGTACAATTAAACACAGGAACGATCAAGTTGTATGGGTGCACGCGTCGCGTCGGTTCACTATTTTCTCCCGTTTGCTCGGTGTCGCGCGGGGGTTAATTGGCAGTCGGAGAAAAGGCTTTCATTAGGGAGTTCCGTGATGCATCGTCGTGCGACAGAAACGAGCCGAGCTACGATTCCGCCCTCCTATGGGCATCGAAGTCGAAGAGGAAGAATACGAAAGCGAAGGTGGAACAGAAGAGAAGAGAGGGAACAAGATTAAAAGAGAGACGGAAAAGAAGATCTGATAGTAGCAATGGGTTAAAAACTGAACACTTTTTCGAGTATTAAATGGTAAGATCGAGAACTGGTTAGAAAAGAGATGATGGATGGATGCTCTTTAGAATCTCGACCGGTGACCAAAAGGAAAGAACCTCTTCCGTAAGTGCACGTTTAAGATTACCTTGTATTCTTGAATTCATTAAGATTATTAAGCCTTTTACGATGACGGCTACGGTGTGGCGTGTCGGGGCTGCAGACACACGGGAGAATCGTAACAGGAGACATCTGAGAGCGAGCAGGAAGAGACAACCGCGAATACCAGCAAACAACCTGTGGAAAGACAAAAGAGGGAAGGAGAAGGAGGGAAGCTGAAGAAGGAGTACCGATGACTGGCAGTCTCTGGCTCCGATGTCTCGTTTACCATAATACAAGGCCTTCGGCGAGGGGGCAGTCCCTGCGGCTGGGGACCCTCCTCGAAACGGTAGCAATGCATCAGAGGACCGTGAAAAGCGCGTCGCGGACGGTCGTGGATCCGTGGACTTAAAGGAGACACGTGATATCCTGTCGTGGGTTCTGTCTACCAGAACGCTGTTACGAGGCGTGCTCGTGCTTTTACACGACGTGGAAAGAACGATCCGCGAGAACCCGTAAGGAAATTGTGTCCGTTGCTAAGATGCGGGAATAGACATGGAGGAAGAGCGGTTGGATGGATGCGATAGGATTTCTGTCCTCGAGCGAGGGAGACGATTTACTAGCTCGTCGTTGAGTGGGAATTCATTAAGTTTATATGATTGTTTAGAAGATCTGAGAATCAGGAAACGAGGGTAATTTATGGATCTGAGAACGTCGAGTATATTGACACGGTGTAGATAAACATGAAGGAAGGGAAAGGAAGAGTGAGAGTGCCGTGGACGAAACGTATGTAAAGGGCAGAAAAGCAAGGGAAGTGTGGTCATGATTGTCGTCGTCGACGAGCACGTCTGCAAATTAAGCGAGTGTACGCCGCGCCGCTTGCCAACTGCTTCTTCTCAGACGTCGAAAAGTGGGAAATCTTGGAATATCTCGTTCGTTATACGTGATTCCTGCAGTCCGGCTTTCGTCCTGCGAATGTTCCGGATGCTTTCGTACTTAGCAATTATACGAGAATGCTACTCGTGACCATTCCGGGTACCTTCAGTCACGAATTTCAGTTGCGAAATCCTCCTGTCTCAAATGTTTCACGTTCTTGCATTTTTTCGACGTCTCTCAACAGTCCATCGTGTCTCTTCAAACCTGAGACAATCTTACTGGTGGACAGACCGGTGCCAGTTGACATAAATTAACGGTCTGTTCTCTTTTTCTCACATGCATTGCTCTTCTGTATATTTGTGAACTAGGTACATAAGGAAGTAGGATTTGGATGTAGACAACGGTTTCGGTACGCGTTGGTCCATTTGACGAACCGTTCTTCGTACCTCTCTTCTCAACGAGAAGGACGCTCTCCTGAGGATCTTACTCCATACTCCCTCTTCTCTTTTCTCCCAGTCCCTCCTACTCCATCTGCTTCTCTTTCGGCCTCTCTGCTCCCTGTCCCTTACCATTTCGAGGCCGCTGTCTTCGTTTTACCAGGCCGTGCGATCCGCACACGCCACTTCTTCTTCAGTGGCCGCTGGTACAACTCTCGGCTAGATCGCGCCAAGCACACCTCCTCTTGTGTTTCTTCCTTCCTCCTTTTCTTCTTCTTCTTATCCACCACCACCGAGCATCACCACCCAGCGGCATCGCCGCGGTCAGGATCGTCTCTCACCACCACTCGGCAAAGGACACCGTGCCTCCTTTGCTATTCCTCCAACTCGATGAAGTAACGCGCCCGGTACGTGCACGCGTGTACTTCTTCCGGAACTTGCGCGGGAATCCTCCGATTCCTTTTACAAAATCGTTAAAAGTTCGAGTGACACAATCTACAACCGGACCGCGTCGATTCTCTAGTGACAAAAGTTCGGGGTGAAACAGTGTGTTATCATTGTTCGTTGATGTTTTATATCGTTTGGAAATACGATGTAGAATATCTGACGATTTTTATCGAAACTATGGATCTACTTCTTAAATATTGATGTGATGAAAAAAAAAAGTGTTACGTCGAAGCTAGCCCGTGTTACCAATTCGGAACATAAAAGCAGTCAAGAAAGTGGATCATCGGTGTAATTCGAGGCGACAGCGGTCCTGTCCTCTCCCGTTTGCACGTGGTTACCTTGACACAGCGACGTGCACCTGACAGTGGAAGCGTCCGGGTACTAGGAAGCACGTGGACCAGACACAATTCATTAACACGTCTCCCTTGTACACTCTTAACGGAACCTTACACCAACAGGTTAAACTTTCCAAAAATCCGTGTCGGACGGAACAGGAGATGTTTACTCAAGATTCGAATCTGGCCGTTCACTTAAAAGAATGTCGGCTTGATTGGTAAAGGAACAACGGTACCGAAAGGAATTGGCACGTGGTCCGGTGGAAAGTCCGTTTCCCGTTTCTCTACGAAGAAAACCGAATTTGTCAACGTGCAATCGGACTAGGGTGAGCACGCGTTAAATTAATGCGAGTTCTTTCGCGGTTGGCACCATCTTCGATTTGTCACGCGTGCTTTTCTCGCTCGCCGACGCCGTGAACCGTGATGGATTAACGGTCCGGAACCGGGGAGGAGAAAAAAGGACACGGGGTGACGTCGCGAGAACTCGGAGGCTTTCCGCGCTTTTGTTTTTAGCAAACAATGCAGGGGCGATTGACTCCGCTGACGAGGGACGTACGTAATTACACGGATTAAAGCGTTCGTGAACCGAACGGTTCTACAGTACACTGTACAGCGTTCGGTCGATGTGCCGCGAGAGTGTTTCTAGTACCGTGTTCGAAAAGATGTTGGTGATTTCAATGCCTGCAATTGAAATGATCTGCAGAACGTGATGGTCCGTGCACTATGCTGACTGAATCGGAAGCGACGCTACAGGAATAGCCAGTAATTGCACCAGTGAACAAGTACGTCGGTAATTAGAAGGTTTCATCATAATATTAATTTTACATATTGATAAATTCGTAACCGATGTATATGATCATTTAATCGATACGCTGACACGATGCAATGAAAGTAAGCTACGGTTTCTTCCGGAGTAAAGACCATTTGCATGGGACAACTGTTTAATGATTTAACCGATGATTTAATTCGAAAATTATACGTTTAATCGACGTGCAGGTAGCTTCGACGTATAGCCATACGCTTCGGATTCGAGTAAATATTCATTAGGCGGCCTTGTGTGCTCGTCTTTCGACCGATCTTCCCATTTGCATATCGCCAGCCAACGTCATATCATTGTTGACTTTGAGCACCGAGACTGCTCGCGCCGAGGACCAGTCCGCATCGTGGATTCGTTCTCCTTTCTGTCGTTCCTCTTGCGTTCCTCTCGATCGATCCGAACGTGTAGGAGTATCTCTTACAAACGCATCTTAACTCGAATGCCTGCCTTAACATTGGATATGATCTTGTGCAAACTTTATCTTTAGAGAGAAAAATTGCTTATGAGTTTCAATCAGTTCATTGACGAATAACGTGTATCTAAATTTTTATATTCTATTCATTTATTAATTTTCTCTTATATTATTTATAATAATTCGCGGCTCAACTAGTTTCCATATAATTCATAATTATGTCACTAGGATGAAATATGTATACGCGTCTATCGTGGAAAGACAGTTTTCCAATGACGAGATCGATCTATTGATAGAAAATTAGGATTCGCCGCGAGGAACGTCTAAAGCCATTTCGCTGTATAAGCAGGCCGCGCATCGCTATGTGCAATTGGATTCCGGTGTGCACGCACAATTTACCGTACGATCGTCTCACGCGACGTTCGAATCTAATAACTCGAAACTCGAAATCGCATTGCTATGCCGCCGGTGGCTCCTTGTTCTCGCGTTTAACCCCGCATCGAGCCCGCATCGAAATTTCTCCCCTAATCCACCGCTAGTTTCACCTACCGTCCCTAAGCGAATTATTCTTCGCCAGCTGACAAGCTTAGCATTTTCAATCGACCCCCTATCATCACGGCTCGAATCGAAATTTCGATTAAATCGCAACGAATTTCGCGAGCTTTCGCATTCAAGGAATTATCGTTAATTCGTAATTTGTAAAACAGCCCGGAACGTTATTATCGGTTCGTTGACACAGTCCGACGTATTTGCAACCGAAACAAACGACAAACGGGAGTACGGTGCGGTCTAATTAATAGACGAACGATAACGGAAATTACGCTTGTCAATACTCGTTGTCGATATGACCCGGGGCGTCGAAAAGCCGGAATAATTACGCTCGTTTATTCGGACCCGACTCCGCGCCGACGCGACGCGACGGTTTCCCTTCGACCCTTGGCACAGGTTCGATCCGCGAACAAAAATCCGTTTTCAAGAACAGAGTCGCGTGCGCTTTTCCTCGAGAAGCTCGAGCTTTCAGTGTCCCCACTTTTTCCTACCCGTTTGCCCTCCTTTTCTCGGGCCACGATTGAGCGATCAATCAAAGAGCGGCGAGTCGCGATCAATTAGCCGACGTCGAGCACCGTCTACAGGGTGCTCGAAAAATTGTCGAGAGAGGTTCGATTAATTATCGTCGGATTTCCCTCTTTCACGGGAGCTTAGACGCCGGTGGACGGAGTTACGCCAGGATCGACAGTTTTCTCCGAGGAGGAACGTCGAGCACCGCGCCTTCTCGATTTCCAGTTCATTTGAATCCCTTTCCGTGCCGCTGCGTTTTCCATCCGCGATGTCTCTCACCCCTTCTCGCTTTTTTTCTTTCCTATTTCCTCCGATCGAGTGAAATTCCATCGCGATCGACGGCATAATGACTCTGCGTACGAAATTAGGGGGATGAGGTTGAACGTGACATTATTAGGTTACGGGAAATGTGAGTAGGAATCGAACCACCGCCATGGGGTAGGTTCGCCTCGCGTCAGCGACTATTGGCTATGATTTCAAGTTGTTTCTTGAACAATTTCCTGATGTCTTTAGGTTGCATTCGTTATTTTTGGAATTTTGTAGATATCTCTAAAGAACTTCGTTTAAGTTACATTTGCGAGTTGACTTTTAACTCTTTACGGACTGAAAAAGTTCAAGACACCGATCAAATAGAAAGATGTAATTGGGTCGTTTCGATACTTGTTTCTAGAATCTGTGTATTTCTTATTTGATGAACGAGCAACATGACTTGCGAGATACAGCTCCTCGGTTGAGTAATTCAGTAAGAATCCTGTCTTCGGTCGAGTAATTCAGTAACGGTCCTAAGAACGTTTCGGTACCACGAGGGTCCTTAAGTGATCCCGGGTTACAAGTTTAATCAAAAAGTATTCCGGTCTGTCCGTGATTAATCCGAGGGAAGTCGAGCTAAATCTCCTTGGAAGAATTCAGTAGCTGTGACTATCAACAAGACTTCTAACTAGATTGCTTTCACGAATCCTAACATATAAAAATGTACGAAATATCAAAAGTTATGATGTTAACATGATAAAACGAATTGTTACATAAAATGCATTTTTTAAATGCTTATAACAGAAAACTAATCAACCATCAGAAATATACATATAATACTCATAAAATTTGCATCTAATATGAATATCAGTGATAACGATTCGATTTTCATTAACGTGTTTTAACGGCTTCTCATAAAACTCTTATGTCTCGTGCGCTATTAATGAATCGGACGTGTCGATCATTGAATAACGATTAATTCAAAGTTGTGTACGGTCTATCTTCGCGTATCATCACTGGTTACCTACATAATATGAAACATAACGCAAGTTCCCGTCCATCGCAGACCGTCTGAAAGTGGTACGAAACTAAATTAGATACTAGCTAGTGCGTTACGGGTTCCTGAGGAGAAAGGAACGTTTACGAGAGATAAGACCTGATGACCGTGAAACCCGTATGGGTTGCCGGTGAACGGTCACGATCGTCGTTTGCGAGGGAAACGAATCGATGCGAACGGGAGGTGGATAGAGGAGAGTCGTGCCCGTATCTTTAATAGAATCGTGTAATTCGCCGATTGCCGCAAAAACGAGTCGATGCCTCCTCCCGGGAAAAACTTGCGCAACAGCTGCAACTCTTTCCCTTCGCACGAGTTTCCCACCCTTCATTTCACGTGCATGACACACTGTCAACTAAAAGTATATGCTCGGACCATGTTTATACGTATATTTTTTTACAATTCGTGTATTTGATATATTCTACCAGATGACGATTAATATTTCATTTTAGAAATATATGATTCAGTTTTTATAATAATAGAAGAGATATTGTAGGAGAGAATCCCTGTAGTCTCTTAAAAAGAATTTTATCCCGTTCCTACTAAAACCGAGCGCGAAACAAGGTAGAGTCCACGTGTTTGTTATAAAACAGGTTCGGGTTGCTGTGATGAATTTTATCGCGTCCAAGGGAACTGTACGCGGTCGAGCTTCTACATACGTCAGCTCGGCGGCGGTTCATAGCTGGGAATAACCGCAAAACGGTTCAACGCGATATTTCCACAGTCGCGAGTGCGAGGTCGTGGCAAAAACCGGGACCGTCGACACGTCTCTAATCCTTTCAAGGTAAGAGACCGCGCGGACGACTAGGATGTGGCAAAAAGCCGCGTCCACCGTGGTCCATTCTAGTGTCACCGCTGCTCGTAATAAACGTCCACCCGATTCGCGTTCCAACGGCGCCCGATTTGCATCGGGAATCTCGCTACGCTCGTTAACGAGACTTCTGCCACTTTTGCTTCCGCAGTTTTCACGCGTATGCAAAACGATAAGTTCAGGTTGGATAAAGGATAGCACCTCTCCTATTGGTCTTGTTTTTTATTAAGCTTTTGGAACCTCCATTGGCGTTTATTACAGCTACATCTGTTGTACAAACAATAGACATAAGAGAGAATAGCTAACATGACAAAATGTAAATTGGGACCGTAGCTTCAGACTAACAGGTTTTACACATTATTAAATAGCAGAGTCAAACTTATTAAAAACTTATGCAAATATAAGCTTTATCTATCTTTAAAAGCAAACATAACAACTGCTGAACCGAATATCTCAGCTCTTTTTTAAAAAGACTACGATCTCGATCGTGATAAAACTTTACTAGCAGTAATGGTAACTGGTTCCGCGTAACGATGTTGTATGAATCTCCTTTCTTGCACTTCTCATGAAACAATGCTTACATGATATAAAATGATGTCCTGTATGCTTAAAAAGAATTGGATCGGATAACTGTAAATCAATAGGGTCGGTCATTCGCGTCTGTAAATCGCCCGCTTGCCAAATTAAGTTAAACGATTCCTCGATAAAAACGAGTCCGTTGAAACAGAGTCGCGTCCTCTCTATACATATCCTCCCTTCGTAGAATTGAGAAAAACGGTTTTCACCGTTTGGTTATATCGATCTCGAGTTTTCTTAAATTTTTTCCATCTTGGGAGCCCGTTGATAATTAGAGGAAGCCTCCTCGAGCCTTGGTGGAGTATGTATCGCTCGCTCGAGCTTCCCGGACGGATCAGCAACGCTGAAAGACGCTTAACTTCTTTCCAATTAAACCGATACGTTTTCACCGAGCAGCCAGGAATCCCGGTTCCACGTGTACCGGGCTAATTAGAATCTCCGTCCGACTGATCTTTAATTCATGACTTATATTCAACCGTGCCACCGTGTGCGCGAGGGCTTCCTAGGTGCCCCGGCTACGCAGGGCCCACTGAATTACATCTGTAAATACCTCGGGGATAGATACTTTCCGTCGATTTTCGAACTCATTTACGCCGGTGAAACCGCGGCGAGCCTCATCTGAATTTCTGATTCGTCGCAATCAAACCCGATGCTCATCTGTGGAAAATTGATGGAATCCCATTCGATTCATCAATTCATAAAGCAGCCTTCCTATTCGTAGCCAAGTATCCTCCAATAACCGCAATCTGCTCGCGTGAATCTTTGATCACTGACAATTGTATGTGAATTAGGACGTGCCTATTG